TGGTTAGACTTTTTCAGAAATGGCTTCTCAAAAGTGGATCGTATTGTTCGCTCTTCTCTCGCTGTTTACTTTCATGATGGAAATAAGAACTTCTTCGGCTTGTCTAGCGGAAGTGATTCTACAATTAGAAGACACTATCAGCGCTCTTCAAACATGTGAAAACTACAATCATAGCGGTAAGTCACCTAATTGTCCTGTAAAATCGAAACGGAGACGAGAGGAAGAACGCTTTCACAAAGTTATTAAAGGATCAAGGGTCTTGTCAAGGGAAAGGGTCTCCTTGTTTTAGATACTCTTGTTATACATACGCAAGCGGGCAAATACCATGCATCAAATTTTACCAGCGACCCAGAACATTATCATTTTCCTTTCCGAATTTAGCTTGACATCTAAAGAGTGATAAACAAGTATATTTAACACAAAACTAGGTTTTGGCTTGTAACGTATGGTTTTACATTTGTCACGATAATACCCATTTCCACGGTTAACTTTTCTTATTTACATGACGATATGATCCAACATCGTGGTAAGGCAATTTCGGGCAATTTTGAATTTTGCTTTCTGTCCGAAATTGCCTCGCATCTACCTTGGATTACATTGTAATGTAAACGAGAAAAGCTAACGGCGAAAACGGCTTTCCAGTCAACTGAGAATTAGTGTATGGAAGAAAGATGTTTCTGTTAATCTGCCAACTGGATTTAGAAAATCTGTTATTTTTTACGTCTTGCCGCTGTTGAAGCGGAGCTCCTGCGCGCCGAAAGCTCGGGAGCGGAGCTCCATACCTTAGAAAAATTTGATAACCCATCGATCGCAAAAATTTGGGTTGTCATATGAATGCCCGTACTTCCGTCCGTACGTCTGTACCCAAGCCCAAAACCTTGAAAAATAGGATAGTAGCACCATTACCATAGGTACATATTTGAGATTAGACATTCATGTTATGGTCAATTGACAGCTGTCATATCAAGGTATTCGCTGACCAGTATCACGTGACCACATTGCGGGCTCATGCTTAGAGTTTATTGAGGTCGCATACTGTTTTAAGTTGACCGCAAGTACTGGTTTTCCATTAGATCGCAGGCTCAAGTCAGGTTATTACTTTGGGGGAGTGGGAGAGAAGGAGGCAGTACGTGCAAAGGCAAACTTTCGTAACAAATTAACCCATGGCGCGTTGTTGACTTTTCTTCCGACATCTTCCTTGCACAATCATTTCTTGGAAAGTCCCTGAGATATTGCGTACATAATTTCTACAATCTTGGTTCAACTTATAAGTCTCATTGGGTACAGTTTGTTAAAATATTACTGGAAAAAAAAAAAATAGTGAAACCTCACGCTAAATAATTACATGCTCACAATTGATCTTGTTTTTTGAGTTTCTGATTCAAGAAAAACAAATCCTCTTTCTCCTTAATGGTTAGTTATTGCAATCAGGAGCTACGCTTTTAGGTTTGGCTAAATCTATGTATTATACTACTCGGCAAGAAGTTTAGATTTTAGCAGGACATGTAAATTTTTCTTTTTCTTTGTTCGTTATGGAACGTACTGCTTCAGTGACTTAGGATGTAAAATTGCAAAGTCTCAGCACCCGTATGGCAAACCCGACAAAGATTGTCAGGGTCCTGTAGCTTCAGCTCCTGAGGCCGATACACGGGTTGATGATAATTTTTCTCTCCCATCTTGAGTTACGTGTAAATCTCGGGTCTTAAGAATCTCTCCATCACACCTTACCTCCCTGGGTGAATCTGTTCAGGTTTTATCCCAGGATGTCTGCTTTGGAGTGGAATTGGACACTACTTCTCTGACCATTTTCCGAAGCCATGAAGGTCACTCAGAACTCACAGAGAGGATGACCACTAAATCTGGCGGTTAAATTGCCTGTTAATTAGTTTTTGTAACCAAACGTGTGGGCCGGAGTTTCGGATTTCTCAATGGGCTTCGTCATGTTTCACGAACTATCAGGTTTTATCATCATCATTACGTATATTTTAAACTACGAGTTTCGCGAGGATATTCACAATTTTGTTTATTTTCTTTCTCATGTCACGAGGCTTCTCCTAATTGTTTTGATCCTCCCCGCGATCTCACAAGTAGCGATTTTGCCGTTACCGCTTAGCGGCTAGCGTGCGAAAACATCCGTCCAAAGGCAGGGGCGGAATTTTCCTTCTTTGGTTGTCACACACAAAGCGATTAATTACCACCGCAGACACACCCATGGTCTTTCATCAGATTTCAGTTTAACAGCCTTGTGACCAGTATTCATTGTTCATTGTAGCTCTACTAGCACTTTTCCCACCCTCCCTCCCTGTTCTACGCTATATTTTAGCATCTTACTATTTCAGGAAACATATTATTATCAAGGCTAAAAAAAGAATTTCTGTTAACCAGGTGTAACACTAATCTCGGTTATTTTGCCGCAGTTGTCACGAGAAACTGTGCTGATCTGCAAAAATCTGGTGAAACTGGAATCAGTGGTGTGTACTCGATCAACCCAGATGATGACGACCCTTTTGATGTTTACTGTGACCAGCAAACAGACGGTGGAGGGTGGACAGTGATCCAAAAGAGATTGAACGGCTCGGTTAATTTTAAACGTGGCTGGAAATATTACAAACAAGGGTTCGGCAACCTGAATGGTGAGTTCTGGCTTGGACTGGACAAGATGCACCGACTGACCAAGGAAGGAAAAAATAGGCTTCGAGTAGAACTTGAGGACACTGAAGGAAACACTGCCTTTGCTGAATACGACATGTTTGCTGTGACGAGTGAGAGAGCCAAGTATCAGCTAAGCCTGGGGGCTTACTCTAACTCTGGTGAGGGAATCAAACTGATTCAGATGCCATTAGATTAGATGCCCAAAAAAAAGTCTTATGTCACTTTATTTGTTGAACTTGGGCTGCCATTTTACAGCTATCCAAAAGAGTTTATAAAAAATATCTTCGGCTGTCGTTGGAGTGATTGGTACGAGACATACAACGGCTTTCATTTGACTGAAAATAATTCGCAGTTTTTTTTTTAAATTATTGACCAAATTGATTACCGTATTTTCTTGATTAAACGCCAGGTTTCCCAGGTAGATTCGTAAATAAAACCCTAACGGAATTTGTATTCGAGTTATAGAAAGCTATAGGTATAGTTTTAAGATATTTTAAAGCTCTAAATATAATGAATAAAAACTCCAGGTTCTATTAAACTGCAAAAGTCCGGAAACACCTGATCCTTGAGTCAAGTTTACTGGGGGCGTTTAATCGAGAAAATGCAGTACTTTGGCTTGGGTTTACGACGATCAATTGCGAACCGATCTAACTCTTTGAGCAAAACACACTCGTTTACTGCTTGTTTTTTTCTACTAGATAAATTAGAATCATTTACTTTCAAGTACATTAAAAGGTCTTAAGGACGTTCGCGCGAACATTTTCCAACATTGATTTTTTTTCTGAGACTTTTACCACTGTAAGATGACGAGTTAGTTATGTCAGAAATATAAAAAAAATCGGGGGTCACCGACTTCGTTTCGGAGAGAACATGCCCGGAAGAACACCCTCAATCTGAAAAAATCGGGCTTCGTTAGCGAATAAGGCCACAGTGTCTGTAAGCCCAAAAATATTATAATGAGATCTTTGAAGTGAAATGTCCTCTGCCAAATACTTATTAAGTGGATGTATTATGTGAATTTAGTCAACTGATGAGGTTCCTCAAAGAACAAGTTCGCATTTAGCGACCATGGTTTCACGCGCCTTGCAGCCGCAAGATGATGGGATTCGATGTCTCGTGGACAGAAATCTTGAAATTTTTTCGACTGTCCACATTGATTTTTTCTTCATTTTGGGCCAATGTGGAGACAATTGTTCATAAAATCTGTTTCTGGAAAGAAAGGTAGGGGTCACCGAACGTCCAAGATCTATAAATCAAAGCAAAGCTATAGCAATGGCCATCTGCCCTATCATTGTTCATTTTAATGCTCAGCGCGCGCGCTCGATGCATGACGTGGCGTGTGAATTTGCTTGCGCAGGGAGGATGCGCAGAAAGAGTCAGCGCGAACGTCCTTAAACGCCTGGAGGCTTAAGTTACATTGTTTTGGCTTTATTGTCTATCCAGGAACTGCTGGTGATTCTTTTACCTATCACCGTGGGGCTCCTTTTTCGACCAAGGATCAAGATAATGACGAAGATGACCGCCACTGTGCAGCTACCTTTAAAGGAGGATGGTGGTACCAGACCTGTCGCCGAGCAAACCTGAATGGTCTCTATCATCCCGGTCAACACGCTTCTCACGCTGATGGCATCAACTGGCGTGATTGGAAGGGCGACTACTACTCCGCCAAAAGATCTGAAATGAAAATAAGGCCGGCAGATTTTCAGTAGAAATATAATCTGTAAGCTGCTCGCAGATTACTTAATGTTGAATAAAATTAGATTTCATTCAAATCTTTATCCGAATATATACATATATATAGATATCTATTTGCCTCTTGAGAGAGAATAAAGGAGCTTAGTCACAGTATTTTGAGTTATTTTGGCCACGTTCAAAACTCCACAAATTGAAGGAAACCTGAAAATAGTACTTTACCAAAATAAAGAAGAACACTAAACAGTTAATAATAAACCATAAAGGAACAATGATGGCTGAGGATGGAGAAGATTAACACGGATTGCAAACGACAAACTTGAAACATTCATGCTAAACTTTTCAAAATGCACAAATAGCTTCGCAAGACGCGCGACTTTTATTCTATCCACGACAATGCACGTGAAGCGCACAACGCAGGGAGATCACGACGTAAAGAACGAGCAAACACATAAATATAAGGAGTCTACTACTAATTTACGATTAATGAACGACTTTTTAGATTAATGAACGACTCTTCGTTTTGCGGAAAGCGCAGGGATTAGAAGGAGAAACAGAAAGAGAAAGTTAAAATGAAATACACGAGGGAATACACGGTGAAAAGGATTACAATCCCGCAGGGGTGCGAACGGAAGAGAAATTAAAAGTAGGTGGGAACCCACATGGAAAACCGTGATTTCCAACGTAAATACCAACGTAAATACCTCGATATGATAGAAAACTTGTATCTGATTAGGGGGTCGACTTTAATATAGATCACGTGTTAATGAGATGCAATTCTCCGACCGTATGCGGATGGAAAACGGCCTTTTCCAATCGTACAAACCGTACGGATCGACAAGCTGTGTAACCTCTGGGGCCCGTTTCTCGAAGGTCCCGAAAAGCCGTAGCAAAATCTCAAACCTTTTGACTTCAGAGCTGTTTAATGAACATATTCTCAATGTGAACAGAGGTTCCCTTCATATAAGACGTTTCAGGTGTCTACACCTCTTTATCTTTAAATACCGATCATATAAAAATGGCTGTGCGGGTCCAAAAGGTTTCCGGGGCTTTCGAGAAACAGGCCCCTGAACTCTGGCAAGACGTGATTTATATTTTAAATCCCCCTAATTAGATGCAATTCTCCGATCGTATACGGATGGAAACGGCCTTTTCCATCCGTACAAGCTGCACGGACCGACAAGCTGTGTCACTCCTCGGCTCTAGCAGGACATGATTTATGTTTTAAGTCCCCCTAATGAGATGCAATTCTCCGACCGTACAAACCGTACGGACCGACAAGCTGTGTCACCCCTTCGACTCTGGCAAGACGTGATTTATATTTTAAGTCTCTCTAATAAGATGCAATTCTCCGACCGTTTACGGATGGAAAACGGCCTTTTCCAACCGTTCAAACCGTACGGATCGACAAGCCATGTCAGCTCCTCGACCCCGGAAAGACGCGATTTATATTCAAGTTCCCTCAATGAGACGCAGTTTTCCGACCGTTTACGGATCGAAAACTGTCTCTTACTGTCTGACAAACCGTACCGATCGAAAAGTTGTTTTTTTTCCGGATTGTATCAGATTATGTGTAGTG